GTACCTCGTTGATCGGAAGGAAACCCTTCCGGTCAAGACTCTTGGGGCGGTACCCGTAGCGGTACCCGGGTACCTCCCATTTTTTTCCCAAAAAACCGGCACCCGGCACCGCCTGGCGGGTGCGAGGCGGGTGCGGGCGGTACCCGCCGAGCGGTACTAGGTACCTAGCAACGGGTACCGACGAACGATCTCTAATGCCAAGGCAAGAGGCCTTCTAGCTACACCGGCTGATGATGCTGGTTTGGTAGAATGGAAATGTAGAGAGGAACCAAGGGGCCCAGGTTGTGGGGGTTTTTACAATGCCCTCGGGGGTACAAGCCTGGGTCTGATGTGAAGACAGGTGAAGGCTACTACGGGGTCTCAAAAATACTTGAGGGTATTGGTCCGTGTATTGGAGTGATGGGCAGAGGAATAACCAATAAAGGTATTCCTTGGCAACAAATCACTGGCACACAAGCACCAAGCTTGAAGGGAGTATGTGGTAGCGGAATGATATTGGAAAAGGATGTAAACTGGAAAAAGATGTGGAAAAATAGTAGACAGGTAAACTGATAATTCCTAGCTGCCTTGTTTACTGGTCCTTTTTATACTGTAGGTACCAGTAACCAAAACTGGAAAGGGAAAGGGAAGTTGACCTCACCGGTCATCTCTGAGAATCTGGGATGATGTATAATTTCCAAGGATCTTTGACGGGGGAAATCTTCTCATCTCATGTCACAGTCTCCTGTCATGATGTATTTTAATATGTCACTAGTTCCTGTAAAGGACATTTTATGTCATTCTTTTTGTAATATTATTTGATTATTAGATCTATTACTCATTATCTTGAGTTGTTTATGGAAATATTGCAGGTCAGCTTGACTCTGTAATAGTAGCAAGCTGACACCTTGTCCATCTCACACCCCATGTGTCCGCAGCACCACAGCGGGATGAGAATGAATACATGAATCCCCAGACTGAAAGTTCGACACCTAAAAACTCTTGATATGTGTTGAATATTTGGAACTGGGTTGTGTTGCTCTACAGAGCCTAGTTCCATTTGATTAATGATTTGTATCCACAAGCCCCCACTGTGGTCCAGTGGACTGCTTCCCTTCAGTATATGTACCAGTTTGAGGATATTATAGAGGGTTACAAGAAAGAACAAATGAGTCGAATAGCATCAAGAAGCTCAGGGGCTATAGAGTAAACCTTGACTTGAGCAATCAAGGAAGGAAGCAGATGAGAGAATTCAGCTACTGACACTGTTTATCAATCATGTGATTTCGCAATTCTAACCTATCCATCAACAAAATTCATTCATATATTTACAGCCAATCCAGAAAAGGATGGCATCTTGTCCTCAAATGCACCAGCTCGCTTGTGCAGATCCATCCTATTTGTGATCTGGGTAAGGTTAAGAGCCCTGCTGGATTGAAGGAGAATAAGAGCTTCTAGCTCAAACCAAAACCTTACTGGCTCATGAAGTGGTAGTATCTGCACACAAGCGAGCTGGTGCATTCGAGGAGGGGATGCCATCCTTTTCTGGATTGGCTGTACTCAGACATTGCAATCGTTGGGGTTATTTCATTTTTAGTAGCTGGGATCATAAAAAACCCGCATTAAATCAGCCGTTATTGAGGAATCCGTGTCGGATTTTGTGAAGCAATCAGCGGGGCAATCAGTTTTTGCTCCAATTCAGGGTTGGCTGAGTACAATCGTAGTGTCACAGACCTTTCACAAACAAAACTTCGGAGATATCACAGGAACAAGAGCAACGAAACCCGCGCAGGGAATCGGCAATCGAACCGGTGGGTTGGCTTAGGAAAGCATTAAAAGAGATTTTACAAAGATGGTTACTATAGAAATAGAAATGTAAGAGGATGTAATGCAAAACCAACACAAGGACTTGGTTAAAGGAATTCAAAGATACACAGGATTGCGTCAATGCAGACGCTCTTGAGATGTTTCCAGGACACGATGAAGTATGTAGTAAAAAAGCTTCCCACTTCCATATAACGTGGGCTGGCTTGGGTACATAGGTGCTGGCGTGGGGGGTAAATACTCGGAAACGGAAATAGACAAGCCACACATATTTGAATGTAATACACTGGGTTGATGTGGAAATAGAACCTCAAGTGGCCTCACGAGCGGTTGCGTTCAGAGAGCTATTAGATTCTCAGCTTGATCTCTCCCATTCAACGAGGCTAAGTGAGCAGCCTATAAGGACCCATTTGGTCAAGAGCTAGGTGAAAGTAACCATCGAGGGATTCTAAATTATAATTTCGTCTTCAGAACTGACCATCATATGTTTCTTTTCCGGTTGATCAGCTTGGCTTGGACAAACTTGAGCCCAACCGCCTCCGGGAGAACGCCTTCTGCTGTTATTCGCACTTTGGCTCGAATTGGCGAGTAGAGTAGTAGGCCACCGTTCATTTCGTTACGCACCAGTTTGTACCCGTCTCCATAGTGGATTTCTGTGTCTGCCTGGAAATTCTGGGATTCATGTCGGGCTCCGAATCGGTATCGCACACTCAACAGTATGTCTAAAAATTTCCACAAAGTTTTAATAAGTATCAGATTTATACGCTGAAAACAGTCTGTGGACTTGGTTTTCACTTACTGACATCCGGCCTCGAGGTCCATCTCGTCGTAGCATATGGACTGGATAAAGAACAAGAAAATGTCAGCTAAAAGCAATCACCTACGAGGCGACCTCAAAATTGGAGAGCATTCAGGCCACGAGTCTATGGCGTTCCCAAGGTCCGTGAATGAGACCACAAGGCTTTTCATCGAGGAAGGTCCGGTTTTCTATGTTTTGGAGACCGCTGTGCCAAATTATCAATCCGAAGCTAAGCAGGTGAGATTGACACAGCCCCTACCCATTTGTACTTCCCTATGACCATCAATGCGAAAATTTTTAATGAATTCTGATATCTATGTGTTCTTTTTTGTCCACCAGGGTTTGGTCAGAAGCGCAATGGTGGTCATTTGTACGCTAATCGAATCGTCGCACGCCTAGACCAATGCCTGCTGCAGAACAATGGAAAAAAACATCAACGGTTTTGTAGAGATCCGATCAGTTGTCTTGATCTCATAAAACACGCAGGTCACCCGGGAAGGAATATCAGCACCTAACTAAGCGCAATTGATATTCTGCTTGCTCAGTTTGACATGCATCATTCCAGACAGCTGGGAAATCTTGTTACTGACCGTAAGTGTTTTTGTATTCTACAGGTAACCACTTCCGATACCGAGAGGCTTCGACTGCGGGCTGCAAATGCCAAAGAGCGTCTTCCTGACCCGGAAGATGAGGAACGCCGACTCGCTGGAGATAACGATTGCAATCCGCTGTGAGCTATGTAGAAGCGGCAGCGAGGGATAAGTTGAATCAGCATGTTGAATATCTGTAATCGCAGCGTTGTTGTCGGCTGGTGGATCCATATTAATGAACCAAGAGTTGTCTGGATTGAACCAATTGAAATGAAACTTTTTTTTTCAAGTTGGGCCTAGACAACAGAACATGCAATATAGTAAGAATTTATTCAATGCTTCACACCGGGGGGGGGGGGGGCTATCACCAGCTGACTGGATTTTGCTCTTGGGCGGCGTTCCTTGAAGCTCAGTATTTTCGACTTTTGATTTGAGTCATACATTAACGACAGACTGCGCTGACGTGCTCAAAGGAACGTTCGCCAATATTTGGAGCTTTGGGCTGTGGGCCTCCGTCTTGTTTTTGCACCAAGGGCCTCAAGGTGGGACCGGATTCTGAACTAGCCGAAAAGTTGAAAATCTCCCCTACGTTTTTGCGGGAGTTAGCAAAATCTTTTACATAGATCGAGGAGCGCTTGGTGTATTGATTGGGCCGGCGCACAAAGGGTAGCATGTAGAGAAAGAAAACGCGAATAAATGGAGAGAATGAAAATGTGAACGATTGCCCATGTGTAATCCGGCTTAGTTGGCGCCAAACCGGTGGGCGCATATGAGTCATTGTCAGTATTTCTTTGCCGCGTCACGACGTGTGTCTTTGGCTGACTGCTAAATTTCTGAATCTTACTGGGATGTACTCAGGTCACGAGGCCTCAATTCTAAAAGGATGAGATGGTGCTCCTGCGCTGGACCAGCTTTTTATTATCTATCATTTTCGACAAGGCTGACTACAAAAGAAGATTTATGGAAAACCTCTACGACTTGAAAGGATTCAACACTAGATACAAAATGAGTTTGTTACAACCATGAAAATATCCTACCATATTTGTATGTGCTATTGTATGGACTCAATACTATTTCACATCATTTGTACCGTTGATCGTCTTTTTTTCAGCACTTGGATTTGGAATAAAAAGATGTTCATCACCTCAAATCCTATGCCCACAAACCTCTCATCTATCCTGGGTGCGAAATTCGATTACCCTGCCTCTTAGTCTTGTGTTGAAGAAAGAGAAGTCAAGGAAAAACTGAGGACAACTGTCGAGCTTGAGAGCGCACAGCTATAGTATGTGAATTTGCTCTCAGAAAACACGTTTAATCAATTTGCTTTGATGAACACCGAGCAGGCGGAAGACGGGGAAACTCTCGGCGGCAAAAAAGACTACTTACATGTCTCATCAGCCCAGAGCGCAATCCCCTCCTGCTTAACCACTACTACAACGCTTCTTCAAGAATGCTTCGATGATTTGTTTCCAGCCGGACACTGCGCAAGCTCGGGACAACCTAGTGGAGAATGCAATCTTTGTAAGTGAGGATTTTGAACTAGCAACAGATCCACCCTCTCCTAAACGCGCCTTGAGCAAATGGCACCAAGAAAGAATGAGCAAAATCTTGCACTTCTTTCATGTTTGATTAGGATCAATGATATGTTCAAGGTTAGATCCAGTAAAACTAAATACATATTCGAAATTAACTAGAAGGTCATTAAACTGGAATACCCTGCCTCAGGATCTTTCCGAACTTGTGATACCTGGATACGTATGGTAACTCCATCGGTATGTGTTTTGCGCTAGTAAACAGAATGTCCTGTGGTTGTGACTGATTGACTGGCTATATAGCCTTTGAAGGCGGCAACGACCCCCCCCCCCTAAAAACAGCTTCCTGCCATCGGCTTGGACGGCAACAGCCCTCGCCTTAGTTAACACTACATGATGGCTATAATACTATGTTAACGACCGTAGGATTTTGCAAGGTGGGGAGATTTGCGCGTAAATTAATTTGAGGAGTGCCAATATTTGGAAATCTCCATAGATTTAACTTCAAGCAACTAATGGTGGTTGTACAGCCACGGAGCCAAACTGGTATGTTTTTTTGCCACTAGGAAGCCTACTCTTTGGCTGCGATTTATTGGCGGATATGCAGCCGTGGAAGCCGGCTACTTTTGTTCCCCTAAAAAAACTGCTGATGTACGTTGGACCCAACGGCGACTACCTCTGCATGATGTATTACCGCACTATGACCCAAAACCTCTCTCAACAGGTTGAGCATCTCGCAAGCTAGGGAGAGTCAAGCGGAAAATTCTTTCGTTGGACGCGCTGAGGTTTTTTGGCCGCAATGGAGAAAGGGCAAAAATCATTCCGCTCAAGTTTGATCTAGCCGGTGAAGGTCCGCCTGCAGGATATACAACTCGCCGAGACCAAAAACACTCAGTGGGCAGAATCACAGAAGAAAAGGAGGCCTTTGACCCAGTGGCAAGCGTATTCTTGTCCATAAAAAAGGTAAAGATCCACTCTCAATCTGATTCTCCCAACCCATCTCCCCCAAAAACACTCGAGAATACATTTTTCCTACACTTTATAAACACAGTAGCCTACTCTACTCCCTTTCCTAATACTATTCTCATAGCAAATTATACTATGACTGTGTCTCGTCATAACACCAACCCATCTTTAAATACCATCGCAACCTCCGATATTAGTTTCGCGACTGGAGAAGAAAACTTTCCCTCCGGCTTGCCTATCGCAGATCAGATGACATCTCCTTCCAACCCAGACCCGCCGACCCACCCAATAAGCCGCGCCATTGCTGATTTTAAGGAGCTTATGAGCGGGGAGGATCCTTCCCTGGTCGATTTTGCGGTGACCCGCTGTTTCCCCAGCTTTTTCCCTTCGACCTCGTTGCCTCAAGACGCCAATAACCTGGTGCTGACGAGCCCGACAACAACTCCAATTGCTGTGGGGTCAGCAGCAGACATGCCTTTGGGCTTTTTGGGCTCAGGAGACACTAATGGTGAGTTCACAATGCCCTAATTGCCGATGCATTCTTTTTGATCCAACCATGGCATTCAAATCTTCATCACAGTCCCTCCATTCATGCCCAGTTTGGACTTCGGCTCCAATACTTTCAATTTCCCCGTGCCCTCAAACTGTAAGTCTAAATTTTTGGCTTGATCTCCGAAATGACATAACTGACGCGATTCTGTTGAAAAACAAATCATAGTCATTCCACCCCAGACCTTTCAAAATGACAGCTCTGATACCACATTGAATGGCCCACTGCTTTCCGGTGCAATTTTTGATGAGACTCTATATTCCTTTCCCAGCTATCAGACTGGTATGCCTCTCTCCCCATTTTCACTGCCCAACTTTCCAGAGGTTGACAAAACTAAACCTTCCCGGCGGGCCTTCGGTCAATCAGAATTGGCATCGGTTCCGGTTGCTGGCCCAAGCAGCCGGCCTTACATTGCCCCGCCCATGGGGTTGAATTTCAATTTCAATCAATCGGTGACGAATAATAGCATTCTAGATGGCTGGCAGCCAGATGTGACTCTTACTGACAGATTCTTGGGATCAGGTTAGTTATTCCTGTTGTTTTAGTTTATGAAAGAAACAAACTGAACCTCCCCGGCGGGCTTTCAACCAATTAGAATTGTCAAATGCGCCTGTTGCCGGCCCCAGCAGCCAGCCCTACACTCCCCCGACCATGGGAGTAAGCTACAATTTTGGTGATTCGGTCCCGAACAGCATTCCTTATGGCCAGCAGGTGGATCAATTGGGCACTGAAAGTGCCTCAGAAGAAAGTTAGTTATACCTGTTACTTTAGTTCATGAAAGATGAGGAAGGCTCAGAAGATCGTATCAGGGTGGAAGAAGCATTGCAGCTAAATATGATGTCGTTTTTTTTCAGTCCAAAACATATCCAAGCAAAAGGGGAAGAAGAGAGTTTACGAGTCCTCTAGCAAGGAATACTACTCGTATAGAAAGTTTAACGTTGACCGACACGAACAACCGGCGCCAAACCCAGAAGACAAGTGTAGGCTTGCTTTGTTTCTTTCCAAAGAAAACTTTGTACAGTGCTCATGATTACATAACAATTTGGTTTGAATTGACAGTTCGCTGCACGAAAAATGGCTGTAATTCATCATTCACCCGTAAGGCAGATTGGAAAACACATGACAGAAAATTTCACGAAGGCTCGCCATCGAGGCCACGGGCAAGAAGACAAAAAGCATCTGACAAAAAATGTATGTCACTCTGTCCTCAACTTCTTCGTGCCTCTGTGGCTTTCATTCCTTTGGTTTTTGCTGATTATCGTTCCCAAATTTTTTTCACTACTTTTCAAGACCCCTGCAAGTACGCCAATCAGGGTTGCAAAAAGACCTACAAAAGCCTCAACGATTGGGGATACTACAATCACCTCATGAAGGATCATCACGAGGTTGTGATACTGACTGGCCCTGTCAGAAGGGAAATGGTTTCGACTTCATCGGAGGAACACACTCCGGCTCCCGGTCCGTCACGGGAACCAAGCTCATAGTTTCCTTGATACTTGATCTCGTAATGCTTCCATTTACTTCAATTCATTGTGACTGTAACTTGAACCGGACATCCTTCTCTAATGGAAAAACGTACTCAATCTCTGTATCATGTAATCTCTTGTCGTGTTGTAATTTCTTGTTGCACCAGTCATAACTTCGGATTGCATTCACTTTGATCTCTAGTTCCGTAATTGATTTAACATTACAAAGGATAAGACTTCAACTCTTTGGAGCTTTCTAGCAAGTATCATCATATAAATTCTTAACAAGAAAAGTATGGTGTTATTCCCGGTACACTTAGGCTATTCCTCATGTAAGCAAGAACATGAAGGACTCGTCGTGACGTCTAGGCATTCAACCCAGTTGAACCCTGGAAGAGTTTCCTCACATTTCTAACGCGATCAGGACTAAAATGCAGCTCGTCGACATCATGATGACGGCCTTCTTGGGAAACAAGAATCCTTCCAACTCGGTCATCGAAGGTCTGGCGCTTCTCAGCGAGGAAGAATCCGCTCGAGAAATATTGAGAAAGAGATCTGAAGAGTTCTTCCAAACCACCCAATCTCTCTCACAAACTAATCGGGCTCAAGAGAATCTCACGTCCGCTCAATCTATGGCCTCTGGACTCGCGACCATTATCCTCAATCTTAAACCTTTGGTGATTCCATATGAGTTGCGTTTCGATAATGGCAGGAGAAGACGTGTGCAAGCCTCCACTTATCATACTCCCAGGTACTTGCCTGGGGAATATATAGATGATGAACGCGCCGCTAGGAATCTGTTGGATTGGCTCCGGTCTATACTCAAACGCAACCCAGACTTGATTCAAACCGTCGCCTGGTTTCCGATGACTGATGAGAGAAGCTCGCAACTCAAGCAAATCACAAATTACACGACCAGACCAAAATCCTATCAAACCTGGCTGAATATGACGACTGCGCAAAACTTGAACTCAAATCCCGGGGTTGTGAGATGGTGATGGATATCAGCCACACCATTGAATTTTCCAAGCATCTCTCTCAACAGGCCCAGCAAGCTGACACCCCATCGAATGAGCCGAATCTCAGTGATCTCGAGCTCCATCCACACGAGCTCGAGGCGATTCAAGTATTAGTAAAGTTGATCAACAACGGCACGACCTACTGGTCAAGCCCAGACATGGATCTCGCGCTATCAATGATCAAGCCACTCGCCGTTCTCTTTCTCCATCCCCCTGCGGACGAGTTTCAGGACTTCCTTGCCCTAGAATGTTTGTCCTACCTGAGCGGTTCTGAGGACGAAACGGCTGAAATCCTAAGATGGTCTCAAATTCTTGATCAATTGGATGAAATCATCGAATCTGAGCCTTCTGAACAAGCAGTCGAATTGATGCTCCTCTATGATCCCGCGTTCCGCAAGAGATTCGCTCCGCCAGAAGACTCGACTCAGACAGACACTACTTACATGACTAGGCTTGAAAATTTGATCACTTTAATCAAGGAGGAAGACGGCGATGTTCATTGTGCTGCTGCTAACGCACTATGGAGGCTTACTGCTTCATCCCCGGAGGTTCGCAATGTTATCTTATCAGATCCCTCATTAACTGAGACCTTGTTGAAGTCCTTCCGAGAATGGGCTGGTGAGGAACGTGATGCAGCAGGCTTCTACTCATCAACCAGCGGTTCTATGATTGGAGTATTCAAGAACATCACACGCAGCTTGACTGCTCCCCCGAGGACGATCCTCCGGCACCCTTTGTGGATGACTTATGCTCATTCACGATTATTGCGAGCAGGGAATGGAACTTGGAGAATTCAAAGATTGCTCTAGTCTTCAAGAAGACGTCACTGAACTATCGAACTGGATCGTCGATAACTGGAAATCTCGGACGAAATTCAGACATTATAATCTGAATGGTCGGGAATCTGCTGATTACGACGATTATTGTTGATCGGTCTCAACTTCTCGACCAGAAGATCATTGAGACCATCTCCACCGCGGCTGCTAAACCGCGCTGCTAAACCGAATATAGCAGCGCAAACTCGATTTAGCAGCTCCACCGGGGCTGCCAAACACTCAAATTTTTTAGCAACTCACCTCTCGGCTGCTATCCCGATACCAAATTTGGCATCAGGATAGCAGCTCAACCTCGCGAGTATCACAAGTTTTTCTTGTGATTCTCCCGCTCACCTTTCCCCATCGCCCCCGAAACAACTCAACACCCAATGCCCAGATCACTCGAAAGTGTACACTCAAGGGCCGGTACCGGTCACTAGAGGATGTACGCTCTCAAAGATCGGCACCGGTCATCGTGGATGTACAATCCCAAGAATCGGTATCAGTCACTAGAGAGTTTACCCTCTCCGATGACCGATACCGTTCAAAACAAGTGAATAGGAATCTCAAATCGTATCGGTCACACGAGAGTCAATACTCTTGAGGACCAATACCGGTTAGAGATCACCAGAGAAGTGACCCTTACCAGTGTACAATCCCTATGGAAGGTACCGGTCACCAGATAGTGTAGTCTCTCCTTGGTCGGTACCGGCCGGTCGCTATAGAGAAAGAGGTAAATACAATAAGGAGTGCAGTCTATGCTGCCCCGGGGGGGGACCTTTCACATTCCCCAGTTGCTATTATAGCAACTTCTGGTGAAAAACCAACTTGACGCAAGCTGCTAAAAATGCGCCGCAGTTGCCAAACTTTCAGATTTGGCAGCTCGGATAGCAACTTGCGGTGGAGATGGTCTGATGATGGTGTTTGTCAGCCACAGAGTACATGTCACAGTACCTTTCATGTACCAAGTAACTGCAACAACTGTACTTATGTACATAAGTACTTATCCATAATGTTGATTACCTTTACCTCTTGTTATCTTATCTTTATTATTAACTTATCTTATTTATCTTACAGTTATCTTATCTGTTAATTACTTATCTATTAAATAAAATACCTGTGTTCTACATAAGTAATTATCACTTACCTTTCACTCCCTTGTCCGTGAATACCTGTAC